GAGAACAATGGAAGAACACTTACACACTTAAATTAAACACTTACAATGCACTGAAAAGATCAAAAAAGGGAAGATGGACACAACGATGATCTATTTTAATCAGTGAGTTCAAAAATCAAAGCAGCAAAAAAAGAATGAAGCTAAAAGTCTTCAGATTTGAGAATGATACCAGTGCATTCTGAGGTCATGGACGACTTCTCTTAAGCAATATAGCCTGTTCATTCGATTCGCATGCATCACTGTTCTGAAAGGGATACCAATATATAAATGAGATTTTGCGGTCGTTAATACATACAGATATGTTAGTACTGATCATATTGGCCGTCGTAAGCAAATCGGTCTTCAGAATAATCTGAGCGTCAAGTCAGCCCTTACATAAATACCAAGACAATTCTACCTTTTATTTTCTTTTGTAAAGAACAACGAAGGAAACAATACCAACTGGTAGTTTACTTAATTATACACAGAGACGCAAAAACATTCGGTGCATTGACTCGCTTCGTTTCTGTAATGAACTGAACAATGTGCTCGAAAGACCTTTCAATGACTATTATTCGAAATTAAGCCTCACTCCTAATGACAGTTAATGAAATTTGCAATCTCGTTTATTTATGTCTCGACCGCCTGATCACGACGGTCAATTATCATAAAAACTTCGGTAAAATAATATTGTAAGGGCTGATTCTCACCAGCGACATAAACTTAATCGTTTATGGCGATAATGTGTACATCGACATGAAGAGACGGAAAGACAGGAAAAGATCAGTTTTTTTTTCGTTAAGTCGTTATGTCGTTATGGCGCTAGTGTGAACTAGGCGTAATATCACTGTGAAATTCTGGAAGAATTCGGGAAGAATACAATGATAGATAACATAAACACAGCTGCGTAGTTTATGGTTTTGTCTTGATGTAGAACACACAGAACCAAGTTTACTAGGGGGTGTACTGATTCCATACTAACGCGTGTAACTCAACACAAAATGCATGGAGGCCTGCGCTGCAACCCGCTGTGTAAAGACTTTTCTTTCAACGACGGCTCTGCGTTCTAGTGTGTGCGGAAAACATTTTGAAAACGGAGCCTTTCTGAAGCGATGGCGTCACGACTATCATGTGATTTACCTGACCCAGATTTCCTGAAACACAAATCCAAAATTAGCGGTGATTGTTGCGTTTTTAAGTTCCTCCGGAGTAGTGTCGACGGAAACATTTGATGCGTTTTCAGACTGAAACCCCCTGCTCCCGACTAAAAGTTTCTGGGAGGACCCCCTCCAACGAAGTTTCTACACATGTTATCAACATTTAATTTCCCTTTCCAATATCATTTCCTCGTAAAGCAAGGAGTGGTTATTATAAATAAATCGAATCATAAATTAAGAGATCTTGTCTTTACTAATGACCGCAGGGTAATTTTCCCCCAATCTATGAAAGTATATCTTTAAAATTATCGAGAGGATTCATCTTTTAAGCTACACTTGTTGCTAAATACTTCTTTCTCCGATTCGTGGCTGATCGTCTTATCGTCACCACACCATGCTTGATCGTAGAGCGGTCATCTCAAATGGCCCTGGGAGCAAGAACTTGCAATTGGTTTATCTTTACTACTTTCCAAGTTTGACGGTCGACAAATGAAAAATAAGGACTGTTTACAGTCCAAACGACCATTTGTCGCGGCGCCTTCTTTAAAGTACTCATTACATATATTGCAGGTGGGCATTTTTTTCCACACGTTTATTGTTGCAAAGACAACAAACATTATCATACGACCCCATGCCTGATATAAGCAATTCAATAAACAGGAAAAACTAAAGGACACGAAAGGCATAGAAGTACGATTTCAAAATGAAACTCACTCTCTCGTGTAACCGCAATTGCAATTTTAAAAGCTATAACTTCAAAACAGCTGATTTGAATATGCGGGGGAGAGGAAGCTTGACTGTCCGTGTTCGCCGAACTAATTATTTAACGTTCACGTTTCCTAACAGCACTATTGACGCTTTTCCGTGGATTTAAGCCAGTATAAAATAAATCATTTACTTCCTTAACAGTACACTGCTGGCGAAACATCGAGTGTGATGGCTTGACGTATTTGAGTGATCTTTTTTTTTTATTGGCTATTTAGTAAACTTAGTTAACAGGAGACTGGCAAGCAGGCGCCAGTGCACGTCTGGCAATCTGGACGCGAGAAACAGCTTCCCAAATAGCAGATTTGCACGTTGTCATTTGACTACAGCTACCACAACTCCTTTCGATTTTTTTCATTACTTAAATTTTGAATTCCCAGTGGGGTTTTAATAACAATTTTCCTAATTAGCATAAGAAACAGAAAAAGTGAAGGATTCTGGTAGTTGTAGTCAAATGACGCTATCTTGCAAAACGCCTATTCCTTCCTTTCTTGTGGGATGATTTAAGGTGTGAGAAGGTGTGGGGGGAGGGGGGAGGCTCTTGACTTACCGTTTTCCTTCCCTCTTTGCGTTCTTTCGCAGCAATTTTATGCAATATGGCTAACTGCTTTTCTGTCGGTGAGTTTTAATCTATGTTGTGGACAACTTATATCGCAACATTCTTTCGTCAACTGTCTGTTACACGAGACGAACTCAAATCAGTTCAACTCAACTTCTCAGTGTTTACATTAGTAAGAATAATAGCATATGATAAAACCTTGGGAAATATATGGCTAGGGCAAAGACTAAACTGATCTGTGCGTGGTAACCATACAGAGTAACCTTTAAAGCAACAATAAAAATTCCTACAAATATGTTTGCGGGTCTTTGAGAGCAGCACCCGAGGAGCTGTATCGTGAAAATCACTGTTAAAAAATGACTGGTGTAACATCATACAGCTTTCGAGTTTTAATACAGTATTGTTATTTTCCTAGTCTAAACAATTGAGTTTAATTAATAGTAGAAATCTTGCGATTGCGTCATTTTGAGTAAGGTATTACATAACTTTTAACTCCTGCACTATACACGATGTCAACTGATTATGTCCCAGGAGCAATTTGCAATAGCCCTTTCTTTTCTTTTTATAGTTTTCTTTCATTGCTGTTTTCGCCAACTGCCATTATTTGTTACCTTTTCTTTTTCTCTTCAGAGACTTGTTTCATGAATCTTTTCTATATATGACAGAGTCTTACACGTGTTGTAAGGAAATATTTCATGGATAATTCTCACAGGCCTAGTACTTTGCATCGATCTTTGCAAGTTCCTTTGTGTACCTGTGTTGCCCAAAAAATGAAGCATAACACATTCTACTAAATTTTGTGAAAACACGACTATTATTTTAATTCTGTTTTTACTCCAGGCTCTCCTTTCAGGAGCATGAACGTAAAAAACAAAACTTTTAGTAATGAATTTGAATCAAATAGTACTTCCGATTAGATTTTTATCGTTAACAACATTCTAACGTAAACAAATTTATATTGGGACAAGAGAACAATGGAGACTTATTAGACCACTTGGCTATTTCACCTCGTTTCACCTTGATTCTGGACATAACATCACATTGTGTTTTGTTTGAATTTTTTTTACAACTGCGTCCTTTTACATGAATGCACGAAAGTCGCTAATTAACGAATATTCTTTGTGCTTTCAAAATCCTTCAAAAAACTGACATACGTATGGCTAGAAATTAGACCTCGTTAAAGGTAGATTTTTCAAGTAATAATGTGAAGCAACGCCTTGAAATTTTTGTCACATAATTAGCGAGAATACAAAACCCATTATTACCAGCAGAAAACAAATATCAGGGGACAAACTGAGCAATCAGACAGTTTTCTTCTTCGTGGAACGAGAGAGTACGCTACTTCGGTTCAAGAAAAAGTCTCCGTTATAGATCAGTTGAGGGTTGGATATTTCTTCTGAAAGGATTTCCGATTTTAAACTGAAATCGACTTCAACATTATCCAGTATCGGCCAAACTTACGTGGGTACAGCGTAAAGCAATTTGAATACATGCAGTACAACTGTTGAAACTAATAATCCGTAGTGAATTAAATTGAAAGAATGATTATGTCGAAATTAAAAAGTGTATGTGCAAGAGACAAATACTACTTTACACTAAGAATATATTTTCTATCTCCTTGTAGTTGAGAATGATTTCAGTGCTAACCATCTTGCTGTTGATTTGTTGTAATGTTGTGGAAAGTCAGTCTGTACCTTCTGCTGGTAAGTATGTGCACTATAATCGATGCAGCAGTTTGTAGACATTTCAATAAAAACGCCGCCAGCTTTACTGAATGCATGCCAAGGTTCGGTCATTCTGGGTACTCTTAAGCTTGAAACAAGTTGAGTGCAGTATAAATCAAGCTCACTTTTGACTTTGACTTAGCTCGGAAAACGTTTCATTATGAGATGGTTTTTTTGTAATCCAGGATCAGCGTCAACCAGCTTTGGAACTTCATTCCGAAGCAAGGACAACAGCAAAGGCAAATTTATTTTCAGCCGTTTTATTAACTTTTCTTGGTTCAAAATAAATTCTTGATTCAGTTCTCAGTTGGTTTAAAGATGCTCGGTACTTTTTTGACTGATTTTTTTTTTTTGCATTACGTGCGGACCTTATTGTTGCTCAATGGGGCGTTGTTACATCCAGATTGTGCCCTTCATCGCACTAATGAAGAATTATGCGTTTCATATTTAGCCATTTGTTTCTTAAGACTGATTTTCGTCACAATCATATATGCCCTTGCTTAAGACTTATTAGACCAATCGATGTGAGTTTGAAATATCAGACAATACGTACAACGGGTAAGATTTTCCAAGTCTCGAAGAGGGGATCTGTTGCGTTGTATTTCGCTCTTCCCGATTATGAAACGTAAAAAAGCATTGAAATTTTGTCTTTTCATCTTGGTCTGTTAAATATTATTAGTGTAAAGTTATTCGTGTCGTCCTTGCATAAGTGATATGTTTAATGTTGGTGTAAGCTCCCTACAGATGAACCCTGTCACCTCCTTGGGCAAACATGTGTTAAATATGCTGAAATAAAAAACAATATAAGACAGTACACTACCACGAAGTGAGTGTCCTATCAACCTTTTGTTTTCCTCAATTATCTCTAGAACCTTGTGGGTGTCATGAAGCCGCGCTCGGAATGGAAAGCGGTGCAATCTCTGATGGCCAGATCACGTCTTCGTCACAGTGGGATGGCAATCATGCTGCTATCCAAGGAAGGCTACACTTTGAGGCCGGTGGTGGCAAAGCAGGAGGGTGGACAGCTGGAAAAAATGACGCCAACCAATGGTTGCAAGTTGACCTGGGTAGTGAGTACTGTAAAGTAACACGAGTGGCAACGCAAGGAAGAAATAATTATGAACAGTGGGTGACAAAATACAAACTCCAATATAGTAACGACGGAGTGCACTTCCAGTACTACAGGGAACGAGAACAAACTGCGAACAAGGTATCATAAATTTCCCTCTCTATATTGACGGAGATATATCGTACAGTTGTAAGATGTTTCATGAGCCAAGAGACGGAGATATATCGTACAGTTATAAGATGTATCCAAGCCAAGAGACAGATATATATCGTACAGTTAAAAGATGTATTTAAGCCAAGAGACAGAGATATATCATACAGTTATGAGAGGCATCTGAGCTAAGAGACAGAGATATATCGTA